TATTTTTTATATAGTAATAAGATTACTAAAATTAATATTTGATATTTTATAAAGAAATTAACAATTATTTTTAATTTCGCAGGCAAATTTGCCTGCTAGACAATCTAAGAGATAGGTCAAGATAGGAATCCGTAAGTTCTCTGACTCACAGACGAATCCAGCCATCAATCTGGTGTAATGGAAGTCTTTATCATGGACTTCATCAGGAAGATCGTAGTTTAGCACTACTATATCTTATGGATTGAAAGGAGGAGTGGTAGGGTCATTCGGAATGTGTCTGACACTCGGGAAAGGTTCGTTCAGATACGGACGTCTACAAGATAAGGACAATAGATCAGTGAAAAGTTGAAGGTATAGATTATTTTGCGTCAACCAGGAAGCGGCACGTCGTAGGATCGGGTTATCAGTCAAATGGTCGGACTGGTTTTGGGTAGTAGATTCGAACCCAAGATCATTAGTGGCTTCTAGGATGACACCTAGAGTTCTGGAGTATAAGGCGTGTACTCTTACGTTATGGGAGTAACCCATAGTTTCCGTTAAACTCTGATATTCTAAAAACAGGTTACTGTTCAGTGATCTTTCTAAGGCGCAATGGAGGTAGACAAGTGATAGATGCTTTCTTCTGTGTAATGATACAGAAGCGATTTCATCAGGCATTAGTGAAAGATAAGGAAAGTTAAATCTGGTGGATGGTCTTTTACACAATTCGCAAGTTAGAACTCTAAATTTCAGAATTCGATCTTGATTTGGGTTAAAGAACGATGATATATCGATTAAGGGGATTCATTGTTGTATAGAATAAAGGAACAAAGAGTTGTGGAATAACCAAGAGGCTTTCTCAGGATACAACAATTTTCCACAGTATACGTATGTGATTCTGGGATATTGAGTCAGAATGTTATTTTGAAAGTGGTCATATAACCTCTGGAATTTGGTTGAAGGTCTTCAGTGAGGTAGTCGAACATTCATTTGATTGATTGGATCAATGTTCATGATGGTATTTTCTAAGTTTAAGTGAGATCCATGGTTATGATTAGGTCATTAAATGAAGAAGTTTGAAATGGATTCGTACTCGGTATCGAATACATAGATATTGTTGATCTGATGGGCCATTTATTCGCTAAGTATTATTTATCAATAGTTCTTTTTTAATTTTATTTTAAATATATATATTTTTTTTCTTTGTGATCAGAAGAACAATTTTTTCTAAATTCATTTTTTTTCTTGTGATTTTATTTGCATAAATTCATTTATATTCAGGCTAACACATATCATTTGAATGATGATAAATGAAATATTTGTTAAACAAACAGATTAAACAGCAAAAAAAAGAATCTAAATCGGATAACATATTGTCCATTGGGAACATAATGCAAAAGACTGATAATTATATAAAAGCAGATAGGTTCATTTTCATTCGTTTAAAGAAAAACAAATTTTTTTATTTGTTTAAATTTAAAAAAAAAAAATATCTCAATAAAAAAAAACTTTATAAACGCCTTAATTATTCTTTTACTTTATTTTAAATCATTTAAAAAAAAATAACACATTTAACTTGTAATAAAAAAAAGTCATAAATGTTAAATAAAAAAATAAACATTTTTTTTCTTAAATAAAAAAAAAAAATTTGAATGATTATAAAATTATCGTCGGTTTCAAAAAATGTGAATTAATTATATAATGTTAATTAAAACAAAAAATTAATCTTAAAAACTATTAAGAAAAAAAAAAACTAAAAAACGAAAATTTATTCTGTTTCTTCTTACTTCATTCCATTTCTTCTTGCGGAATTTCTACTGAGTTTTCAGCGTTCGAAAGAGGTATCGCATTGACTTCAACCTCTAATGAAGCATTGACATCTGAATGTGGGATGGGATTCGCTTCGAGTGCGGTCAACAAACTGGAGAATACAGGACATCTTGATGTTACGGTTTGTCTCATATGAGCTAATGTGACTCAGAATCTCCTTGATGAAGACCTTCTAGTCGTCTGACGGGTTGGTCTACTAGCAGCTGTATAGCCAATGTTATTTTGTCTACTCCACGGTAGCGTTATCGTTGAGGTATTCATGCGAGTTTGGTTAGGATAACTAATCAACGAAATATCTTCTAACTTGAGAATGTGTTTGCCTAAAGCGGGTTTATCTGGAAAAATCAAGGTATCAGGGGGAGGTTCGTAATCAATCACACCAACTAAAATCGCAGTGGTTGATCTCATCATCTGATTTATGGCATTGGTTTTGTTAGCGAGGTAAGTGTTGTCCAGATCGTGCCTGACTTCAAGGACATATTCGTTTAGTTCTCTATCACCTAACTTTTCCTCAATTTTAAATTCAAGAACGGAAAGACCGTTCATATTTCTGACAGTTTGTGTCATAGAACCAGAAATAACAACATTGAGACCTATCATTGGAATATCATCGTATTCTAAATTGAGCATTTTTATGAAGGTAGTGTTAACCTGTGACGAAAAAGAATTAATGTTATTTTTTTATAAAATATCAAAAATAATTTGATGATAAATTTCTTCATTCTCATTTGTATCACTTACAGAGTACCAATTATCACAAGCCACAAACTTTCCTTTTAAACAAATTATATCACCAACCTCGTAAGATTTAATTTCTGTTGGAGCCATTTGATCAGTTAGAATGAAAGCTTTGATCTGCAGGAATGCTATCTTGTTAGAGTCAATGTCGTAAAGTCTAATGATGCCAGTTATTTCTTTAATGGTATAGTTGACAGTTTGCCTTTCTCAGGAATCATATACGTAGCAAAAAGTGATCAATTTTGAAGGCATTTTCTTAGACAACAAAAAAAAAACTAAAAATAAAAAAATATTCGTATTTAAAAAGTTAACAAAGGAGGGAAAAAAATATTTTTTCAAAGGAGGAAAAAAAAAATACTTTTTTTTTTCGCAACTTATATATTAATTAAACCAATATCAATAAATCTTTTTATCTGCAAAATCTACATAAAAAAAAAGATTTTAATAAATATTATCATTACATGTAAAAGATAATCATATAAACATCTCGAATACAAAATTTATATATAAAGGACATGTGTACGGAGGGATAGAGGGTAGGCATTTCTATCTAAGATAAATGAAATTGTGATTAGGATTATTAGGTAGATTCATAGTAGGATTACTCTTACTAGGAAGCAAAAACATAAAGAAGTACTTGCCTAATACGGATGAGTAAATCATTCCATAAAAGAGTATTTCTTGCAAGTGTTTTAAAGATCATTGATCGAAGGCTTAACGGGAACAGTAATATAAATAAAATTAAAATGAAATATTAAAAATGATCATTGCTTTATTAAGAATACTGTGTATCAGACGAATTTTTGTGTATCGAACTCGATCAGAAAAAATAATTACTAGTGTTTTCTTTTCTTTGATAATTTAATCATTGCGCATGTTGATCTTTTTTAAATTGTTTGAAAAACTGAAAAAATTGTGTTATATAAAATGATTGATAGAAATGTGATTGGCAGATTACGCGTCGTGACAGATACCACATACATAATTTCAGTTCTAACTGAAAATGTCCTACGCTTACGCTTCGGACAATTACAGTTAATGAAAACCATTGAATTATTTTTTCAAATTGTTTTGATCATTTAGAGGAGTCTGGATAAGTAAATTAATAGGAAATTGTTAACTTCGTTTTTTTTACCATTTATAATCTTTATTAATATTAACATTAAATAAATATTAACTCAATTTAGTTTTGAACTACTGATTTATCAGGATAATATGTTATATATTTGTATAATTGTATCCTTAATTTTCGGTAGGCTTGTAGACAACCAAAAATATATAATTTTGGAAACTACATGACCATTTAATAAAGCTCTTGTCAAAATTTTCTTCATATAAATTTTTTTTCTAATGCATAAATTATAAACTAGCCAATTAAAATTTTCCTCTAGAATTTTTAATAAAAATTCCATGATGTTAATCATTGCAATATTTGGTAATTCCAAATCAGGTAATGCTTCTGACTGTATTTTACTATTGTTTCCATCTTTTACCAAAGAAATAGCTCTTTTTAATAAAGATTTGTTTTCTAACAATTGATCATTTTCAAATTGATCTTCTTCTTGTGGTTGAAAAGATGGAATAATCAAATATAATTGAATTTTGTTGTTATTCTTGTTAAAGAGATGAGATTATTAAATCTGGTTATTATTGCTGTTGTGAAGACAAAATGGTCAAATTGCTCAAATCTTCTTTTTGTTGTTGTTGATAAGGTGAAGGAATGATTAAATTTTGTGGTTATTGATTATTATTATTATTATTATTATTAGTAGTTAATGAAGATAAAGATGGAAATAAAAATCATTCTTTCAAATGTTGATAATTTTTAATCAATTCTTCATTAATATTATTTTTCTTTTTAATTGAATTTGTGCTAGAAGTGTTTATTCTATTTTAGTTGACTTTAATATAAGGTTATGTTTGTCTATAAGAAGCTCACCTGCTACAGTAAATATTGTATTAGCATTATTTATTGTAGTTAGAACTGCATTATATATTTGATTATTATTTTCATATATGATTGCAAGTATTATCTTATCATTGTTTTTTCACAATCGAAATTATTAAAAGTTTTTTTAAATAACTAAATAGAATAGTATTTGTTTTATTTTTATTGATATGTTTTTTAACTTATGATTTGATGTTTCTGGAAAATACAAAAAACAGGTTTATGATAGGTAATACTTCTGCAATTTTTTCTTACATTTAGAGGGATCGCTTGGGAAACCAACACCTATAAAAATATTTTTAAATTGTGTAAATCAACACAAATATCATAACATAAAAAAAGAATAAATAAAAATTTTTTTAAGTATCAGTTACAAGACATTTTGCCTAAGTATATTTTCTGAAAAAATTACAACAATCGAAATTGAAATTTTATATAAAAAAATATCTTTAAACCTCAATATACATATCTTCTGTGAAGTTATCCTCACAAATTTTGACATAAAGATTCTTCATGATATATTAATTCTCCTAAAAAATTTTTAGAGGTATTTATTAATAAAACGGAAAATAATCTTAGGTTTAAAATTTCTTACCAAATTACTAATTTTGGAATTTTTTAATAATTTTGGATAACAAAACTAATGATCTTAACCCATAAATTTCTTCGCATTTTTTCACATTTATAAAAATTCTAAGAGTTTTTATATTTTTTTTCTAGTTTTTTGCTATTTCCTCCAAACTTTAATAACAAATAACCCATTAAAGTAATGCTTATATTGTTATACGAGTCGATTACGAAGTCTACCAACTAAAAAATAGACTTCAACACGTATAGCAAGGTTTTAGGTATCTGAAGGATAATGATTTAATTTAATAACTTTAAGAACT